TATATCTCATTTTTGAATTGCAGAAACAAGCTGTCAAATGTAATTTCGGTGATCAACTTCATGTGCAGCTGAGAGACCGATTAATTGCAGGAATTAACATACCTAGTTTGGAAAGAGAGCTGTTAAGAATGTCAAACTGTTCCTTTCAAGATGTTAGAACTGCGTGCATTAACTACGAGGCGTTGAATGAACTTGATACTCAGTCGATGAAGATTTCCAATACTTTGATCAGTTGTCATGATGAAAAACAATCTCAGGGTCAATCAAAATTGTGTTCGTTTAACAGTGGTTCCTATTCTCGTGCAAATATGAACGTTGTTTCAATAAAGAATTACAAAGGAAATCACAAAGGTGAGACCAAGTTTGGCAAATGTTTATCATGTGGGAAACTTCATTCTCGTAATTCATGTGCATTTCGCAATGCTAAATGTTTTAGATGTGGTAAGATAGGACACATTCAAGCAGTATGCAAAGCTACTGTTCATTTTGCCTCAAGTTGTACTAAATCTTGTAATTTAGATCCCAATAATTCAGCCGATCCTGATGATCATTTATCTTTGTCTACCATTTCGAAAGGTAATGCTCATATTCAAAAGCGATTATATACATCACTTGGTTCATGTCATGACTCTATTGTGGACACAGGCAGTATAGAGTCCATTATTTCATTCAAGAACTTGAAATCGTTAGATCCTAACGTTGTGGTACGACCCACTGAAGTATCCAAATTAAGGATTACTGGACACAGACTGCCTATACGAGGATGTTGTGAATTGCTAATAAGAGATGATAATTCCTCATACATACCTTGTGAATTTTTAGTTAGCGAAACAGGACTGTCAATACTGGGTTTAAAGAATTTGAAAAGGCTTAAAGTGGAGTTGTCTTTCCTAGTTTCTAAAGAAAATTCTGATGCTTTATTTAAAGATTTGATAGCTACGTGTGCTAAGTGCAGTGGAGGTATGAAGATCCAGCCTATAAAACGTCAAGTACAGGGTGATCCAGTCTTTCTCAAAAGACGAATAATTCCTTATGGTCTTCGAGATGCAGTGCATAAGACATTGAATGATTTGTGTGCAAAAGGCATAATTGAACCGGTTCAGTCTTCTGCATGGGGTACTCCTATTGTTACGCCACTGAAATCGGATGGCAAGACTCCTAGAATATGTGGTGACTATAGACTAACATTGAACTCCCGTTTGTTGAAGCAAACATGCACGACGGTAGAGGCTGAAGATATCCTAAATCGACTTCATGGTTCTAAAGTATTCTCGAAAGTTGACCTAAAAGATGCTTATCTTCAAATCCGTTTAGATCAATCCTCATCTATTTTGACGACAAGTAATACTCCTTTTGGTCTGTTTAAATACAATTTCCTTACATTTGGGCTAAGTTGTTCTCCAGCCATATTCCAAGAAGTTATGAAGAAGGTGGTTAATGATCTTGAAGGTGTTGAAGTTTATCAAGATGATCTGATTTTTGATGGTGCTGATAAGGGAGTTCATGACCAGAGACTTATTGCCTTATTGCGTCGTTTAATTGAGAAGAATATTACAGTAAATCCAAATAAGTGTTCATTTTGTGTATCTAGTTTTGAATGTCTTGGATACCTAGTTGATGGTAATGGTTTCAGACCAGATATGAATCGACTAGCTCCACTGACAAATGCACTGTCTCCGAAAAATCTTACGGAACTACGTTCACTAGTGGGTGCTCTTCAATACTATTACAGTTTTATTCCTAATTTTTCTTGTCGTGAAAACTGTTTATTTAATATTTTGACATCCAATTCATTCAAATGGGGTGAGGAACATGTGTAAGATTTTCGTTGCATAACGTTAGATTCACCAGAATAACGCACCCGAAGTCAATGAAGTAAAAGCTCTTTGAGTATTCGGAATATTTATTTGGAACAGTTAAATAAATATCGTATGTGGTTCTGCAACAAACAATTATTAATTTACCAGTTACTTACATTCAAGGTGATTAAGCAACAACAACA